CTCTCTCTTTTTTTTGTTTTATTTGAGCAAAGATATATATATATATATATATATATATATATATATATATATATATATATATCATACATACATACATACAGATTAAAGAAAGAAAAATAGATGATAGACTTACTGACTTATAATTGTGTGGTGGATATGCATCCATCTGCCTGCCTGCCTACCTTCATCCAAATCTTGTTTTTGATATGTGCACCAACCCAGTCCTCCAGAACCAGGAAATGTGGCATGATGCAAGATGTCCACATGGTACCTAACTACCTTACTAATGGCCACTGTAACCCTGGAGAGGGAACCATATAACCTCCCAGAACCTGTTTCCTTACCTTAAGGTAAAGATCCTAATCACTGGTGATCTGGTAAGGCTAACCGAGGACCTGTGGGCTAAGGAGGGGGATGGGAAGGGGCTGTTAGCACTCCTGGTTCAGGGTGAACAGAGCTCAAGATCTGGGGAGGGAGGTGCTGTGAATCCTTCTGGAACCTTCTGAGAAGGCACCTGAGGGGGAAGATTCTTTGAGAGAGTAAGTGAGCAGCTGTGGCTCAGGGAGAGCAGAAACCACACAGGTGTCAGCAGAATGGGGGAAAGGTTCCTTCAGGCAGAGTGCAGGGAGTGACAGAGGGGCACGTAACAGAGGCCCTGGAGCAGGATTCCTCCCTTCCTCAGTGACCTCCACCTCATCCTAAGGCTGAGACCATGGAGTCACTCCGCCACCAAAATGTCTCTGTGGATGCTGGTTCTGCTATCCCTGCCACCACATCACTGAGAACAGTCATTTCTTCTCAGCTCTGGAGACCGTGGGAAGGGCTGTTACAGACAGGAAAGCCAGCCACCAGGTAGCTGAGCCCCAGGCCCCTGATGCACACAAAGCCAGCTCTGTAACTGAGCTCCACCGAGGAGCTGAGAGCAGGGCGCCAGGCCAGCAACACCTTCCTCATGTCAAGGCCGACCGCCCACCTTTACCTCCCACTTCTCTGGATTCTGAAGGCTCTCTTGGCTTCCAGAAACAACGGAGTCTTCCTTCAGATGCCAAACAAAATAATCCAGCAGTAGAAATGGAGAGGGGAAGGGAACAGAGACACAGCAAAACCTTTCCATGAAGAGAAACGTGCTGTGTGCTACACAGCAGTGCACCGATAGCCATCTCAGTCAGGGCCCCGTGCAGGACCAGCAGCCAAAGAATGTCAAGGATCATAAACATCTCTCATCAGAATACCAGGAACGTCTAAGGGCCTCAGGTTTACTCAAGCCAGAAATCAGTAGATGGAAAGCACAGACAGAACTCAGGAAGTATCTGTTTTCTCAGGAGACCCTGCCCTCTGCCAGGAACCAGCCATAAGCCTAATCAGCCAGCTCCAGCCAGCAGTAGGGGATCAGGGAGAGAGGAGTTGGGTCAAACCATCCCCTTGATGTTTTCAACTACCAGGCAAAGGCTATAGCATTGGAACTCACCAGCCTGGCAGAATACAGGCTCTTTCATGTTAAGGGACTGGTGATTTAAATATAATCACTTGCTACATGTGTGTGGGGCCCTGGCTCAATTTTCAGCCCCAGGAGGAAAAATAAACTGGTTAAAATTTTAAAATAAAACAAGTCTAAGATTTGGGCTTACTAAGAGGCTCAACAATGGGAAAATAGATTTCTAGGAGTCTGTGTTTTAGAGGAAAACTCATTTTCTATATTTATGAAATAGCCCTCTGCCCATGCCTACAAAGTAGGATTTGAGAAACCACATGTTGGCAATCAGGACTTGACACCTCAAAGGTAATGAACAAGAGGTAGCCCCCAGCAGGGCAGAGCTGTCTCCTAGCTGGGCTCATGTAGGCACAGTAGCAGTGAGTAGGAATTTAGAGGCAGGGGCATAGCAACAGCAGCAATGCCGGCCACTGCAGGATGTCACTCACTCTCCATTGTCCACACAGCCTGAGTCAGTGAATGCAGCCATGCTCTGCTGACGTCCCCTCACTCTGTCTAGCTCTCTGCCTGCCTCTCTCTTTTTGTGCCATGCCTTTTCCGTGCTGATCCTCCAAGGATCAGCACAGGGGGGTGAGATGAGTGAGGCATGCAGACTGCAGCCCACATCCCAGCTTTACTGCCCACTGGCAGTTGGATCTAAGGAAAATTAGTCTCCTCTCATCCTCAAGTTCTTCATCTATCAGAGGGAAAGGGCTAAATGTGTCTTGTGGCATCACACAAAGTAGGTGGACAGTGATAGCATTAATAACAGCATTAAACCATATGTAAGCTCATTTAATTGGTAGAACAACCCTATGATAAAGATACTATAGTTGTCTCCATTTCATGAAGAGGGTAAGTGAAGTTCTCAGTTATTGAATGGACAGCAGGTGGGTGGGTGGGTGGATTGATGGATGGGTTGTAGATTGATAGGTGAGTAAATGGATAGATACTATGGTGATTATAAGAATTATTTACATCAAAGCTGGGGGTGTAGCTCAGTGGTAACTTTACCACTGTGCTTACCTAGCCTGCACAGATAGCTGTCTGTAACCATCAAAGACTCGTAAGTGCCTGGTACCTCCCCTTGTCTATTCTTATGTGTACCGTTCTATCTGTTTCTGCTGGAGACATTAAGACAAGATTGTTGAGGACCTGGACAAGATGTCACTGCATATATCCCAGCCTCCAAGTCAGGATGGCCCTGAAGCTGTCTGAGTATCTACACAGGTCCTTTGCAGGAGTAGGTAGTTGGATCACAAGAAAGAATAAATCTTAAAATAGCACCAGGAACACAGGAACATCAGTCCTGCTAACTTCTCCATCATCTTCTTTCCCCACAGACATCTGTTATGGTGGTCCAGTCTTCCACACTGTGGGCAATATCTAACTAGCCCCAGACCCTTGCAAAAGATGACCAGGAGCTATGCACAAACAGGTAGCCAGATGGGCATCTGTTCATTAACGTACAGAGGCTCAGACCAGTTTCAAATATAGCTGTCACACAGAAGGCTGCTAATAACAATTGGATTGAATGGTAATTCCCTAGGCACTGGCCTCCAAACTCTATAACAACTCTGTAGGTCAAACATACTATTCTCACTAAATATCTGTGGGCCTTACCCAAAAAGGCAAGCAACTCAATCAGGATTTGAACACAGACCTCCTTCAGAGCTCCTGAGTTCTTATTCTTGATACCATGTTGTTTGAGGAATATTTTTGCTCTCTTTCTCTATTGGGTACCCTCCTCTTAAGCACCAGACAGAGATACAGTAATTTCCCACCACCTCATACTCTCTCTGGCCCCAACAACCACCCACAGAATCCTATCTCTCAGGTCATCTCTTCACAGAAGGTGACCTGGACCTTGCAAGTGCATGCCAGAACTAGAGCCCTGTCTGCCCACTAGGTAGAGGACAAGGATACTAACACAGCAGGAGTACTCTTTGGAGCCCCTTGTAGACTGTCATCCCTTAATTCTCTGTGCTCTGGTGCAGCCTGTGACTCCTACTGGACCTCAGTTCACCCTGAATACTGGACCAAGCGCCACGTCTGGGAATGGCTCCAGTTCTGCTGTGATCAGTACAAACTTGACGCCAACTGCATTTCCTTCTGTCACTTCAACATCAGCGGCCTGCAGCTGTGCAGCATGACACAGGAGGAGTTCATCGAGGCAGCCGGCATCTGTGGGGAGTACCTGTACTTCATCCTCCAGAACATTCGCTCACAAGGTCAGTGCCAGCAAGCCTCAGAAGAGGGGTCTGAGACTAAGTCTGGATCCCTGAAAGGTGCTTCCCTTCCCATGACTCTCATAACCAAACATTGCTGATGTTCAGTCAAGAGCTCTCAGTAGCCAGAAATTCCACTGTCCCCGGGTTGAGAGTTTAGTCAAAAGGAAAGCCAGAGCCAAGAAAGCAAGTTAGGTAAGGTTTTGTCTTAAAGAAAAGTAAAACTAGGGCATGAGTAAGGAAGTCCAAGCCAGGCTGAAAGCTGCAAACAAGAATGCTCAGAACTAATTAAAACCATGAAAGGTGGGCATTCTGCTTCATCCCTGACAGGTGAGGAGACAATGAAAGAGACTTTTCCCCTTCTCAAGAAGTCCAAAGAATTGCCTTTGTTAGTACAGTCCTTTTGGTCAAGGATCCAATGGCCAGAAGGTGGCACCAGTGGCACGGGAACACCATGAGCTTGCACTGTTTTTTCAAACCAGAAAGCTCCTTTAAGATTCTGTGTCCTAGTGATAGAGCAGCTGATGTGAGAATCTTCGTGCCTTCACTCTGGCCAGACAGTGTACAGGGCTGCTCCACAGGCAGTCAGGACAAAGTGAGAGCCAGGAAATCTGAAGGACCCATTTTGTTATTATTACAGTCCAAGCTCTTATACATGGAAGCCATAGAGGATGCAAGAAGCATCCCCTGTCCAAATCCCTAATGGCTTTGTCTGTCCACTGGGAGGATAGATGGTCCACCCTGGACTTCTTTGGAAGATTACTTGGCACAGCATATAAGGACACAAAGTAGCAACTGTTTCTATCATTAATACAACCATGAGGCCGACAGGGGTGCGGTGGTGGTGAGGACCCATTATAGCAGACATATCTATGTTTGATTTTAAGGAATCTTAAAAGTTTTCAGTTTCTCTTGGAAAGGCTACTTGAGAAAACACAGAAAACTGGAAGCTCCCTGCCACTGGGAGCCAAGCTGTCTGCCCATCCCTCCTTGACAGGGACTGTGAGCAAAGCAGAGATTCCTTCCCATTTGGGCAGAGAAACCTCAGAGCACCTTCCAGCTCTGTGAGTCTGGGGACTCCATTTACTCCTCCTCATCAGGAGGGCCTAAGGGTAAGAATGCAGAGAGTGATGACCTTGAGATAGAAGTAGAAGCCTGTCCTTAGGGTGTGTACTCCCTAAATGGGGACAAGTCTGTCACAGCCACCCTGGGAGGAGGAGTCTGGAAATCCATTCAAAACCTCCCAAGGGCCAGGTGTGGTTGCACACCTTTAATCCCACCAATCTGCTCCATTTTGAAGTTCTTCCCTTAAGGTTCCTCAGGCAAGTCTGTGTACATGTGCTTCATGACCAGAATTTACACTCCAGCAGTTTGCCTAGGATACAGTGGGCTCAGTTCTCTTCCTGACATAATCACCATTAGAACTCTCTCTTATTCTGAGGTTTCTCCATTTGGGCAAAATCTATACTCTGGGTAACTCTCTACCTTGTACCTTGTGTACCCCATAGTCAAGGACTCTGCAAGAACAGGACATGGAACGAGGAAGCTTCAACCAGGGGAGGCACTGGAGGAGCCTCCAGAGCCCAGAGGATCATCTGACCAGTAGATATTCCAGTAAGATTTGAAGGTCTAGAAGCATGGAGGCCACCAGAAGTAGAGGTCAGGGGAAAGCCTGGAGTCACAGAATGGCTTCCACAATGTAGGACAAGAAATATCTCTCATCGTTCCCCGATCCTGTTCTAGTTGGCCCTTTGGCCAGAGTGTTTAAATTGTGTTAGTAAATAGAAAGTAACCCTCATGTTAGACACCAAGTTAGGAAATAGATGTCTGTTGACCTGACCTTCTTCCTGGAAACATGATCTTAAACCCCAGCCCAGCTCACCATTCTACAGAGTAAGGAACTAGCATGGTCTTCCAATGAATTGAGCGTTCAAGTAGAGCTATATGACTCTTTGAGATTCTTATCCTCTTCCTTTTGGTTATCACATCACAGTCATTCTGATGTCCAAGTCCCATGTCAAAAATCATAGGCCCAGGGCCAGAAGGGAGTAGAGTGAGTGTTTAACCTCATATTCCACTGAGAATAAGGAACGAGCCCAGAGAGCCTGTGACTGGCAAAGCCATGCAGGCAACAGTGGTCCAACTCAGTTCACAGCCCAGATTTCCTGGAGCCTAGACAAGACTCACTCTGTTAGAGCTCAGTAGCTGATCTACAGAAGCTTCTAGAACCCCTGGCATCAGTTGTTCTTCTTAGGTAACCTTTGAAAAAGTATGATGTTGTTACTTGACTTCCAGATGGCTTTATAAAAAGCTAGACAATGTCTAAGTTTCCCTCTGACAAAAAAACTCCCCTTCCTCCAAAACCTCTCCTCCTCATCTGGCCAGCTCCCTGGATTGCATGGAATAGTTTGTGAATCTCTCTTTTCATTCCTTTCCCAGGCTATTCCTTTTTCAATGATGCTGAAGAGACCAAGACCACCATCAAAGACTGTAAGTTTGACATTCAAACTCCCCAAAGCTGTGCCCAAACTATTGCTAGCTACTTGGATTTGATACTGCTTTAACAACCATGCTACAAGATTGATGAACCAAAACAAGCCAAGACTTGGGGAAAGAGTAGAGAGAAATAGGTTAAAAGAGTGTGACTGTGGAGGAGGGGATCTGTGGGACAGTAACTCATGTCCATGGAGTCCTGTCCTTATCAAGACTCCATTTGTCTGCCTATAAAATAGTTGGGCCCTTCTGGGTTGTGGTTAGCTTGAGAAGCAATGGCATTTGTGCCCAGTAAAGGACCTTTCTGGTGCCTGCAGTGTAGATACTATAGAGCCAGTGCTCATTAGCCATGATAGTGATGACTTCTAGCTATCAGAATTCTTATGGTTGTGGATATTTCAGAACAATCAGAGCCCACTTGGTTGGTCAAATTGATAATTAGAAGATAATGGGGAGATCTCAAATGGCCAGTGGTCCCAATGATTAGTCTCATTTCATTTCTGCAGATGGAGGCAAGAAAGGGAACTTTGGAGCTCAATTTTAAAAATATTTTTATTTGTTCTTTGAGAATTTCATACATGTATACAATATATTTTTATCATATCTATCCCCTACTTTTCCCAACATGTTTTTCTCCCTACTTCATGCCTTTTCTTCTTTTTAAAAACATAATACATGATTCCAGTTAGTGCTGCCAATATATGTGCAAGGGTATGGTGCCATCCACCGGAGTATGGGCAACAAATCAGTGGCTACAGCCAGCCACCCTGGAAAATTACCTCCCCCCCTACCAGAAGCCATCAACAAAATGGTAGGTGGAGCTACCATTTTTTTATTATCATTGCTATTAATTATTGAGTCCCATGCAAAGATCCTGGCCCAAAGGCTGAAAAGAAATGTGGTCCTGGATAGGCCCCTTTCCCCATGGACTGTTGCTCAGCCACCTGCAAAGAGTAGGCAGACCACATGGAGTTTTCCAAGGCCCCTCCCCTCTGAAAGATAGATGCAAAGAGACAATGAGGGTTAGTTAGTTGTTAGTATTTTAAGCTCTATGTTACTGTGTGTGTTCTCTTATGCCTGTGCTTAAGTGTGTGTGTGTGTGTGTGTGTCACAATACTAATTGAGGTCAGAGGATAACTCTTGGGAGGCAGTTTTTCCTTCCACTGTGGGTTGCAGGAATCAAACTCTGTTCACGAAGCCGACACAGGCAGCACTTTTACCTACTGAGCCATCTTGCTGGCCCAGGATTTTTTCCCCTCTTCCTAAAATCCCCATCAACTGAGGATTTAAGTTCTTAGACTTCTGACTAATTAAAGTTTTGTGATTTTTGTTTGTGGGTTTAGGGATGTTAGTACAAGAATAGCAACTTGAGTTGGGAAATGGGTCACCCCCACTCAGCTCCAAGGACCCTGGCTGGTCTTACCAGAGAGAAGGAAGAAAAGCTTCTAGGGGACAAAGGCTGGGTCTATGTGGTCCTTGAAAAAGAGCTGGAAGGTGTGTCATTGGGTTGTCCAAAGCCAGGAGCCACTAGCCATCTGTGGTCATTACTTAAAATTAAATAATGTTAAGATTCAAGTCTTCAGGACCACTAGTCAGGTTTTAAATGCAGTCACAGCTGGCCAGGAACCACCATATTGGATTTCTGGCATTCCCCATCCCAGAAACTTCTCCTGGGCCTTATCAGTGGAGAATCAACCATATCAAGAGGAAGCTGAGGCTGAGGGCTGGGCGAGGGCAGATTTATCAGTAGTGGAATCTGTGTTTCACACTAAGCAAGCTGAGCAGCCACTGAAGGATTGTAGGCATGGAAATGGTAAAGGCCATAATTGGATTTGAAGATCTCTTAGGCTGCTGTGTCAGGGTCAGACAGGAGTTCAGCTGAGGGCCTACTATCTAGGATGGTGGTGCTGGCAGCCCAACCAGTGAAGCAGAAGAAATGAGAAAAAGTTTCTAGAAGTGAGATGGGTAGGGGAAAGGCTTTAGTGTGTTTAGGACTCACAGAAATAACCCCTGCTGCTTGAGGCTCTGATCCATCTGCCCCAACCCAAAAAGGTACAACATCTAGACTGAGCCTAGACTTAGGGCCTCGGTTGAGACTACCCAAAAAGCAGCACCAAGTTCTTCCTATCCCAGCTCCAGTTCCATGGCCAGGACCCCACTTCCTTCTCCCGAGGCCTGCAGCCTTCAGGACCATGCTTTCCCTAAGCAGAAACTCCAATAAAGAACTTGATGGGCACAGAGGTAGGCATGAAGTCAACCATTTGATAGTGTATACAGTAAGCCTGTCCTAGGAAACACATACCATGTGGCCACAGAGTCTATAACCCAGCAAAGTTTCATGGCCCCAGATATCCTGGAACAGGAAACCAGAGGCTACTTTTTAGTGCTGATGCCTACCAGAGACCACAGCATGGCCAAGGAGGGAAGGGTGGCATCCTAGAGGTTTCAGTAAAAATTGCTAACTATCATTGTTTTTTATGCACTTAACACTGTGCAGGCATAGAATCAGGAATTTAGACTATGAACTCACATGTACTCCTCCATCTCCATTTGCTTCTGAAGAATCATGCGGTGCAGCAACTTGAGAGTAAACACAACCCTGGGACTGATTCCAACTTGTCCTCTCAGTGGCTCTGTGCTTACACAGTCAGCTACGCATGAGCATACCACCTGCTATACATTACATACACACGAGCATACATACCTGCTATACACATACATACACACATGCATAGCTGCTCCCAGGCCCTTCTGTTTGTTCTCTTGCCCACTTATTGGAGACTCAAGTCTCCTGAGATATGTCCAAACAATGATCCATAACAGGGGATCTTCAACTTAGTTCCTACCAAACGTCCAGCAAGCCATGAAGCCATCATAAAAACTGCACAAGGTGAAGAAGTCTATCCCTTAATCACTTTTTCTTTCCTCTCCACATGTCCCCACCCTCCTCTACTACAGGAATGTCAGTAGAGGCCATACTATACCCAGAATAAAGCTTATGCTCTTAGGTTCATGGATAGCCAGTCCAGCTCTTGAGCCTTGGAGTATCTCTGTGCAATGCTAGTATAGGGTGGGCTTTTTAGATGGACTGAGCTTGATTGTAAAACTCTATCCCCAGGCCTCCATCTCTGACTATGATTTTAATCAACAAATGATAATAAACCCTTTGGCTCTATTGTATGTTTCCAGTCTCAAGACCAACCGGGCCTTTCCAAACCTCAGGCCACACCAGCTACATGGATACAGATCACACACACACACACACACACACACACACACACACAGAGAGAGAGAGAGAGAGAGAGAGAGAGAGAGAGAGAGAAAGAGAGGACGGGGGGGGCTGCTGTTTGCAGAGAAAGAGTTCCTACAGTGTACTGCAGCAAACCAACCACTCATCTTGGTGAAGCATTTAATCAGGCACCTGCCTCAAGATTGACAGTAATGACTCCCTGCCTCAGCCTCTACCTCAATCATTAGATTAAAAAAGAGGTTTGGAACCTTCTCTATCCATGAGGGCCTTCAAAGCCTAGACCTGGGACAGTTAGAAAACAGTGATGTGACCAGACAAACCATCTCCATGTCTCCTGTGATGCCTCCAGCCCTGTGCTCCTGCATCACACCAAGCACAAGGGCCCACAGAAATGAAATGCATGCACTTTCCCTGGATCTCCTTATAGTTCAGTGAAGGCTTCTTATCTGTTCATGGCCACTGAGTGGCCTTTGTGTATTGTTATGGCTCCACTTGCTTTTTCCCTAAAAGATTCAGTGACACAATGAAGAAGTCTGGAGATGGGGACAGACACACAGCACAAAAGAGGCATCAACAACTGTGCAGCCCATATGAGCTAAGTGCTCACTCTGTGCCTGTCAAATGCCTCCTGAGAAGCACATGATGGCATCCTGGTTGTGAGTGTTAGGCCTGGCATGGGAACTCTGGATTCAAGGCCCAGCTTCACACCTGGACAGCAGTCTTAAACTCTCTGGGCTTCAAATTCCTCCTCAATGAAATGACCCTCATGTCACCCAGGGTTGTTGCAGGACAACAATGTCGCATATGAGGCCTCCCTCTAGTAAGCTCTCAGCACTTAGTAAAGGCTCCATAAATATCAGCTTTAGTAGAGAAAATGCGAGGTGAATTTTAAAGGAAGAAGAAACACACTGTGATTCGAGAAACATTCGGGTGTCCTTAGACCTCATGTGGGTGGGTGGGGGCTCTAGCCCAGGAGGTGGCTTCAGGGAAGAGTTCTGAAGAGGTTCTGTGAGAGTGAGAGTCAGCTAGGTAGAAGTGGTGGCTGAGGAAAGCATGCAAAAACCGGGAGACACAGGAGAGTCATACCCATTGACACCAAATAGCCTCAGAGATGAGAGAAAGCTGGGGCGCAGAGAGAGATAAGGTTAGAGGGCTGGGCGTGGCCCAGTTTATGAAAGGCCTACCTAAAGTGATAGCCTTCATTGTGGTGACAAAAGGGACCACTTGAAGAGTGATATGACCCAGTGGCACAGAACACAGGACCTGGGCAACAGTGAGGACACCCTTTCCTCCCAAGATGACATGTCTATTCCTTTGTCCCATTAACACACATCCTAGACTATAACGTTAGTGTGGTTAGTGTAATGTAGTGGCTGAGAATATCACTTATTTAATACCAGCTGTATATCCACCACTATGCTAGATGCTACATAGACAAAGACAAACCCTGCCCCCTACTGGACACAGACTACAAACCACACAAATAAATGTGTCGGGAAGGAGCTAAAAGGCAATAAAAGGGAAGTAGAAGTGGAATTCTAAGTAAAGCCTAGAGGCTCATATGTGTGGTTACAGTTTCCACACTTGGAAGAGGCCATCCTGGAAGGTGACTTTCAGTCTAGACTGAGATAGGGCTGTGAATACCCAGATGGTAAAGGAAAGAGCTTTCTGGGCAAAGAGTAACTGTAACTACCCTAAGGGGACTGCGCTGCACAGTGAGAAAAAGCCTGAGTAGTGGAAGCCAAGTGAGCACAGAGCTGGGGGAGTAGACTGAGCTTTAAGGCACTAGGAGGTAGGTCTGTTCCGATGTTCTTTAAAGAATTCACAAACTTTGAGACAACGCATGTGTGGGTATCTCAGATTATCAATTACAGCACGATAGTACATAATTCAATTCAATATTGAGTTAACCTCTTGCTCCCTTCGTGAATTCTAATCTCTCTGTTTTTATTGTGTCCCTTTCAATCTGCTCTCCACACAGTCACAAGAGGGGCCTTCCTAAAGTGCGGGTCTATCAGTTAGGGATGTAGCCCAGCTAAGTAGTTTGTGGAGCAGGCATGAAGCCTCGGTTTCCATCCCCAGCATGGCATAGATTGGAAATGGCACGATATGTCTGCATTCCCAGCACTCATTCAAGAGGCAGAGGCAGGAGGGCCAAGAGCTCAGGATCATCCAGAGTAAGTGAGTTTAAAACCAGTGTGAGTTATGAAAGACTGTCTCAAAAAAAAAAAAAAAAAAAAAAAAGGCTGCAGTGGGGTCCAGTTGCAGATATCTCTGCTTTCACTTTAGTATAAAATCCCAAACTGTCACCCAAGCGTCATGATCACATTTAAAACAACAGGTGATTTGTCTGTTTTACCTGGGGTTCACCTGGTCACATGAGCAGGGACGGCGGCATCTGTATGTTCTCTCTTGTATTCCAGCAGGAGCCCAACATACATTTACAGCAGGTCCCAGGATCAAGCACACCCCCATCCCTCCATCTACTAACCACCTAAAGTGTCTCCTACCACAAGGCTGGCAGTTAACTTCTGCTCTTTGGGGTGCGGTTTGAGGCTCCTCCACTGCCATGGGTCCTTCTGTTTCAGATGCTGATTCCAGTTGCTTGAAAACAAGTGGCATCAAGAGTCAAGACTGTCACAGTCGAACAAGTAAGAGCAGAGACATTTTCTCCCTTGAGGCAGTTCATCTTTGGAATTAAGTATTTGAGTGGGACCAGCGGGGAAGAAACCAATGATTGAGTGAGGGAGAAACCAATGATTGCTTTCATACATGGGATCAAACTTATCATAGACATTGGATTTTAGGAACTGAAGAAATGTTCTGACTGGGTTCTATTAGTGAAGGGAAGTTTTCTTTTACCTGGTCCACTGTGTGACCTTCTCACTGAAGTACTCAGAGGAAGAGAATAAAGGCAATGTGGGGGGAATTGGCCAGTTCATGAGCCTTTCCCAGCACTGAGATCTGCTCAGGGCAGGATCAAGCTCCACTTTCATTATGTGCAAGCAGTCACCCTGCATCTAGCCACTTGCCATGCATTAAACCACTAAATCCTCAAGCCCACAGTATGGCATGGGTACCTTATTACCCCTTTGACAATGACAGTAACTAAAGAGACTGCATTTCCAGAGCCAGGAAGAGGCAAATTCCAGACCAAACTCAGGCAGTCATAGCCCAGATCTGTCTTACCCGTGTCCTAAAGGCACCAGAGGAATGCAACTTCCTTGTGATAAAGGAAACTGCAGAATGGCTGTGGGTACCAGACCTTTTTTTTTTTAATAAGTAAATTTATTTTACATCTTGATGAAGTTTCCCCTCACTCCTCTCTTCTCAGTCTCTTCCCCCAGTTTCCCTCTGTTTCCACCCCCACAATCCACTTCTCCATTTCTGTTTAGGAAAGAGCAGGTCTCCCATCTTAATGTTCCTTAGAAAGGAGTGAGCTCATGAGGAGCCATAGCGCTCTTTGGGTAAATCGAGATTCTCTGTGTGGGATTTTGCTTATCATTTATCAGGAAACAGACATTTTCAAGCTTGGTAACACCCCAAGCAGCTCACTCATAGTGAGTATTGTCCAGCCCAGCAACAGTTCTCACAGGTTAATGAGAAGTTATATCTATCTATCTATCTATCTATCTATCTATCTATCTCTATCTCTCTTCCCTCCCTCACACATGCTTTTCTTTTAACATCTCTCATATTTTTTTATTTAAATTAGAAACAAGATTGTTTTACATCTCAATCCCCATTCCCTCTCCCTCCCCTCCTCCCCTGCCCCCCACTAACACCCTACCTATCCAACACCATTTCTGCTCCCCAGGGAGAGTGAGACCTTCCATGGGGGGTCTTCAGAGTCTGTCATATCCTTTGAGATAGGGCCAAGGCCCTCCCCCATGTGTCTAGGCTGAGGGAATATCCCTCTATGTGAAATGGGCTCTCAAAGTCTATCCCTATGCTAGGGATAAGTACTGATCTACTACAAAAGGCCCCATAGATTTTCGAGGTCTCCTCACTGACACCCACATTCATGGGGTCTGGATCAGTCCCATGCTAGTTTCCCAGTGATCATTCTGGGGGTCAAGAGCTCCCTCTTGTTCAGGTCATCTTTAACATCTCTCATATTTTTTTAATTGTTTGAGAATATAATTGCATCATTTCTCCCTTCCCTTCCCTTTCCTCCCTCCAAATTCTCCCATATACTCCTCCCCACTCCCCTTCAAATCCTCTTTTTTCCCTAATTGTTATTGCATGCACACACACACACACACACACACACACACACACACACACACTCCCAAATATAACCTGTTCAATCTGTATAACGTTACTAGTATATGTGTTTCCAGGACTGACTATTTGGCACTGAACAACCAGTTGGTGTGCTCTTCCCTGAGGAGGGTCACCTCTCCCACTCCTAGCATTCCTCAGTTGCATGTTTGTATAGGACTGAGGCCTCATGAGCTTTTCCCTGTCCAGTCTGGCATGTCAATTGGTGTTTTCCTTGTTCAGCTCGAGATTGGACAGTCATGTTGGTAAAATTTTATGGGTATGACTTATGATGTTACTAGGAACCACAATCTCTCTTTAAAAATAAAGAAAAAAAGCCAGTTTAAAAAGACAGGAGGCTGACTATTCTGTTTCCTTCCCAAAGGCCTCCAAAGCTCTCACCTGTGGGAATTTGTCAGAGATTTACTTCTGTCTCCTGAAGAAAACTGTGGCATCCTGGAATGGGAAGACAGGGAACAGGGCATTTTCCGAGTGGTTAAATCAGAAGCCCTGGCCAAGATGTGGGGACAAAGGAAGAAAAACGACAGGATGACATATGAAAAGTTGAGCAGGGCCCTGAGGTAAGTGAATAGCATCAGACACTATGAGCCTGCAGAGACGAGTTACATAAAATAGCCAGCCAGAGAAAATTACCCTGTTTTCACAGCCCCCTCCCCCCACCTACTTTATATGAAAGGGTCATGAGCTAAACCTCTTCTTAGTTTCAGGTGGGATTATGGCTTGTAAAGTGACCCACAATCCTCTTCAGTTTTGGCAACGTTCCTGGTGATGGGGGTGGGGAGGGGGTTCGATCACCCTGAGCCCTAGCCGTGGAGCACACAAACACAGGCTAAGCTGACCCTGGTGAGGTTCAGTCTTCATGGTGTCTGGGAAGGGTTTAAGTGTAAGTTAATAACAGGGTGTGGAAATACCAGGGTAGGTAAAGCCTTGTCACCCGAGAGGAGCAAGGAATTTTTATGCGCTGTTGTTTTCTTGGGGTGCAAACCTTCCCTGGATTCCTCTCTTCTGCTTGTTTTCACAGATACTACTATAAAACAGGAATTTTGGAGCGGGTTGACCGGAGGTTAGTGTACAAATTTGGAAAAAATGCACACGGGTGGCAGGAAGACAAACTATGATCTACGCCAACACCAAGCTCTTTTGATGGATTTCTGTTGTTTGAAACAATCAGATCAAAATAGACATTTGAAAGTCTTCTTCCTCTTCCTCCCCCTCCTCCTCTTCAAAACCTACAAACACAATGATAAAATTTCTGCACGTCTCATCTTACTTTGGATTCAGTTGTTGTCTATTGGGGTGATGGCAGAAACCCTTAAGCAGTCGTCTTCATCCCAAGGGGGAAGAAGGGATGGTCTTCTGTGGCAACTTGATGAAACATTATTTCCCTAATGAAGTATTTGGAGCCAAGGTAGTCAGTGTTATGGGTGCTGTTTCACAAAAGGGCCCCATTGCACCATTAAGGACACACAATCCTCCCATTCCAGAGGTTCTAAGTGGTCAACTGAGGCAGCTCACCTGGGACTAGTTTTTAGGGGAAGGTGAGATGTAAGATATGCTTATTTTAGATTTCAAATAAAAAATGCTAAACCACTAAGCTGGGACCCAATTGGATGTAGCCTAAACTAATAATAAGTTTCTTAACCAGATCATCTTTTTTGACCACTTAGCCACAGCCACTTGATCCACAGCCAATCCTTCTGAACTTGCATGCTTGTAATTAGTCACGTTGGGAATTGCTACTGAGATCACTGCCCCCTTTCTCCTCACTGGTGGCTAGTGTCATTTCTACAGAAACCTAGTCAACAGACATGTGTATTAATTTCCAAATCACTGCTGTTTCTGTGATTCAAACTGTCAACATGATCAAATCAGAATTCATTGATTGCCTCTGGGGCTATGACGTTAAACCCGTATTAGAGCAAAGAATGTCCAAACATTCCACAACAACTAAACACATCACCAGTCCCTTTTCTTTTCTTACCTAATGAGTACTCAAACTCTACAACAGCTTCTCTTGTGGAATATTACTTTATTTTGTTTTTCAAGACAGGGTTTCTCTGTGTAGCTTTGTAGACCAGGCTGGCTTCGAACTCAGAGATCTGCCTGCCTCTGCCTCCCGAGTGCTGGGATTAAAGGCATGTGCCACCACCACCCAGCTAGATTCTCTTGACAAAAATAAATACAAAGAATTTACATCAATAAACGTTCATGGGTTAAAGTCTGCACTGACATCTCCATTGGCAAGCAAGGTGTTAATGACCCTTAAGGTGGACTGCCCCTGAACCTGAACTTCTCCAGAGTTGGGAATGTCAAGTGATGAGGCACTGAATAGCAATGCAGGCTGAAGACCTCTATGTTTAGAGTTTAGCCTCAAAAGCAACTTGTTTTAAGAAAAATGTGAATTACTGTAAAATAATCTATTTTTGGATTCATGTGTTTTCCAGGTGGATATAGTTTATAAACAATGTGAATAAAATATTTAATATGTTCCAGTGTCTGTGTATTTGTTCAATCCAGCATCCTGAGAATCTTTGAAGGCCCACTTTCTAGAAGCTGGGAATGGATACTTATAAAGGGAGATTTCCTACCCACTACCTTCAGATACTATAAAAGCTTCTACTACCAAATGGGGCTCATGGGATAGTGCGACCACAAAGACTTTTTTTTCAGATTTATGTTATTTAATGTGTATGAGTGTCTTCGCTACATGTATGTATGTGTACCAAGTTCCCATAGGAACAGAGGCCAGAAGGCACTGGATCCCTGGAACTAGAGTTAAGGATGGCTATGAATGGCTCTTGACTGCTGGCCCATCTCTCCAGCACCCAACAAATACAGTTTTGGTGTTTTGTACTTTGCTTCTTTTGAGGTTGTACTTTATTTCCTGCTGGGAATTGTATTATTTAGAAATCAGACTTAAAAACAAACAAAAAAAAACCTTTAAAAAAATCTGAACTCTAGTTTCTCTGTCCTTTTCAACATTAATTTCCTGAAACTGAGCTGAAGCTGTGAAGCACCTTGGGACAAGCACTTGGTCACCTCCTCCTGCTTCTTGAGCCCAGGGTGTTCAGCTACTATTCATGTTTGTTCTTGGTTTTGGCTTTTGGTTTTTCCAACATTTTAAATGTGGGGCCTGTGCCCTGGAGGTAAGTAGTGAGTGAAAGGCTGAAACAAAGCCCAAAACCAACTGAAAGAAGTGATTGTCCAAGAAGCTTCTTGGCATACAACTCATGGCAGAACCAGAATGGGAATTCGGGTGGGGCCTAAGGTGGACAGAACAGGCCGTGAGTACCACATGGCTAAGAAATGCTGCTCCATCAATACAAGCCAGCTCATCAGACAACCCGGAGACCCAAATAACCTCTCTATGCTTGTGAAAATTTCATTTTACAAAACCATCAAAGCAGACATGCTCTGTCAGTTCTCAGGCTGCCCATGACAAACTGTCAGAGCTGGAGGCTTAAAACAAATGCAGTGTGTCCTGACAGTGCTGGGAAGTAGAAGCCAGGGTACCTCCATAGCCACACTGAGTTGTAGGCTCTAGGAGCAGAGACACCATCATTCTTGCAGTGAGTACATGTGCACCTTGACCAGAGGCTGCAGAGATCTAAGTCCTGCTTCTTCTGCAGAGCCTGCTCCTCTTCTGCCCTTTGCTCTCTTCATTATCAGCTGGGGTGCTCACATGGATTATCAGGAGCTGCCCCCCCATCTTGCAATTCTTTTTTGTCAAATAAGGTCACAATCACAGTTTCCAGGATATGTATTGGGGGGGAGGGTTCCAGCATTCAACCCACCATACTCTTCAAAGCATGAGTCCTGTGCAAACATATAGTCCCAGAGTAGAGTTCATCCAAGGACAGATAACACAAGAGTGTTGCAGAATATTTCCTTAACTACACAAAGGTGTGTTGCATTTGTTTAACTATGTAAAGATGTGTTACATTTGTTTATGTTACAGAATATTTGTTTAACTATATAAAGATGTGTTTCATTTTCCTAATTATATAAATATGTGTTGCTGTTTTACCGTACCTGCTTAAGACACCTGATTGGTCTTTAATTAAAAAGCTTAACAGCCAATAACAAGAGAGGAGGTATAGTTAGAACTTCTAGGGAGGGAGACTAAGTAGGAGGAGGAATTCAGGCTCAAAGAAGAAAGAAAAGGAGATGAGAGAGAGACCTCAGGGACCAGACACACAGACATGGAGGAAGCAGGAAAGTAGGACATACAGGATGAAAGAAAGGTAAATAAATAAATAAATAAATAAATAAATACCCTGACACAAAATGTAGATGAATAGAAACAGGTTAAATTAAGTTAAAAGAGCTAGTGGACAAGCCTAAGCTAAGGCCAAGCATTCATAATTAATAAAAAAAATCTCCATGTCTTTATTTGGGAGCTGGTTGGTGGCCCAAAGAAAATCCCAACTATACAAGGGATCATTTAAAGCACTACTCTGAGCAAACAATGCTACAGAGAAGTAAGAAAGGGTCAACAAACTATTCTGAAATGGGAAAATAAGTACTTTCATGAATAAAGATTTGCAATCAGACTTTCCACTGAAAACTGTCACACTAATATGTGCTGCCTTAAATTCATCTAAAATTCAAAGTATAACTTTTTAAATTTGTTCATATTAATCTTTCACATCTTTCAAAACTCTGGAAGGGTTTTTCGCCCTTCCTTTTGTCTCTCAGTTTAAAGTAGAATTTGGTCTTTTGCCCTTTGATCATTCCATAACTGAGAAGCCAAGAAACAGCCAAACAGCTTGTAACAAAAAGTAGTTAAAACTCATTTCCGGACCAGTGCAATAGCTCAGTGGGTAAAGTCACTTGCCACAAGCCTAAAAACCTGAGTTCAATCGATGGGTCCCACATGGTGGAAAGAGGACTAACTCCTGAAAGCTGTCCTCTGACTTCCACATCTACGTGCACCACAGCACGCGCACACCAGTGCATGCACGAACACACATGTATGCATTCTCAACTGTACATGGATACATCCACATGCAAAAAGAAAAGTAAAAACTAAGCAAGAAAAAAATAACTGTAGCATAATGAAAGGGAAGGCAGGTATGAGGAAGGTGACAGTGAAAAGGTGGCCAGATGGATGGATGGATGGATGGATGGACAAACGGACAGACTGTTCCAGTGGTGCAGAATGGGAGGGAAGTCTACAGTACTGCTCAGTGCATTTACTCACATCCACACAGGCACATTCCCACCGTGTAGCAAATGCTCCTCACACCATGCCTTTTTTCTTAGCCAAAGAAATACCAGTGGACACAATGCAAAGGCTAGAAAAGCACTCCTACAACTGAGATTGCATTCTTGACCTTGGCATCATATGGGTCCCGCTGAGAGTAGAGACATGTGACAGGACTGCACTAGCTAAACTGTCCCCAGCTGATCCCATCCTGGATTGGATCAACTGAACTCTGGGATGACACGTGATCGTTGTTTGGAAGCACTGGACTGTAGAGTGGCCAGGATAAGGCCAAAGTCAACGGTGTATCTAGGCACCCTGCCTCTCACTCAAAGCCTCCTTAGGAATTTAACTCTGAGACTCTGAGGCACAACCTTAAGTGGAACATAATTAGACAGGAAATAAAACCTAATGAGCGAAGTGAACCTCATCAGTGTCTCTATCTTTGAAAGTCACAAGAGGTTTCCAAAGAAAAACTGAAAAAACTCAAGTGTCAGACGAAGAAAATATACTAGAGCATGTGGTTGTTAACTGTCAGCTTATTTTAGGAAATACAATATAATAAAGTATGTCTTAAACTCCCTGACTCTATATGTATAACCCACACACAAATAACGTCCTTCCCTGTTTGTGGTACATGGTATTTTTAGTTCATCCTACAGACTTGACATACAGACAATTATAGTTAAGAACCTGCTCTATGAGGACTCAGCATCGTAAACAGGTGTACTTACTTTCTGTGTCTACAGATAGACCAGTTTCTAATCTGCTCAGATAGAAGGGAAATTCAGGGTAAAGAAACTGGTGGTGGTGAAAGAGACAGAGTTCATATGTCCCAGCCAGGGACCTGACTCCTCTAAACTTCAGGCAGTTGTGGGCCACCCAAAGTAGGCACTGGGAACCAAACTCACG